TCAAAGCCCAACAGGCGAGGTCGGCGTCGACCCTGCAGGGTGCTGACACTCACACCTGCAGGGTGCTGACAGTCACACCTGCAGGGTGCTAAACCTCAGCTTTAATGCAGCTACATGCGGTTGTTGTGTGTTTTTGAGCCACACGCACACACGCACACCCACACACGCACACACACACACACACACACAGTGGCAGCTCAGTGTGTGTGCACTGATGTTTTCTGCCTCTGCAGCCTTCCTTCTCCAGCTCGCTGCTGATGTCATCCAACCTGAGCCATCAGCGGCGTTCTCAGGGCGTTTACCTGCAGGAGACCGGTGTGGGATCCTCCATCAACCTGGCTCTGGACTGCGAAACCAGCGCCACGTCTACGCCCGTCCCCGGTCGGCCGAGCACCAGCACCCTCTACAGCCAGTTCCAGAGCAGCGAGAGCGAGAACAGGTCTGTACCTGCCAGCAGTGACTCCACCCAGCTCTGCCGCCGCGTCACAGGCCTGTAGATAAACTGCAGCGCAGTGGTGTCAGAGCAGCTCACGCATGTCTTTACTTGTGTTTGGCCTCCAGGAGCTTTGAAGGCATTCTCTTCAAGAGAGGGGCGTTGTTGAAACCATGGAAACCGCGGTGGTTTGTGCTGGATAAGACCAAACACCAGGTAAGACGGTTCCCGATTCATCTCGAGGAGACCTGTTGCTGGTCTAATGGCGCCTCTCTCCCTCCCTCTGCAGCTCAGATACTACGAGAGCAGGCAGGACAAGGAGTGCAAAGGAGTGATCGATCTGGCTGAGGTGGAGTCTGTCACCGCGGGAACGCCCACCATGGGAGCGCCAAAAAACATTGATGAGAAAGCCTTCTTTGATGTGAGTGAGCTCCCTCGGCGCGTCGCTCCGGGCTCATTTCTGACAGGAAGTGAGCCTGGATTGGCTGAAGCTCCCCCGTAGCGTTCATGGGGAGGCGGAGACCGCCCTCCCTAAGCGCTGGTGCACACACAGTTGTTTAAACAGACACACAACAGACACACACTCCTCCCATGAGGCTTCCAAGGCTACAGAGTCAAAGATGATTAGTTTCAGCATTACGTGAAACTCTGGAGGTTGTAGCAGTGAGCTGAGCAAGGCAACAGGCCGACTGCAGAGAGCCCCATAGTTACGGTGGAGCCCCTCCCCCTGCTCCTGCAGCGTTGCCATGGAGAAACGTCCGGGAGACCCTGCTGTTATCAGTCTGTGTGTTTAACGATGCTGATTCGTCTCTCTGCTTCTTTCAGCTCAAGACGACCAAACGAGTGTACAACTTCTGCGCCCAGGACAGCCTGAACGCACAGCTGTGGATGGACAGTGTTCAGAGCTGCCTGTCAGACGCATAGAGGCGAGCGGCGAGGGGAGGAGCCTGTGACCACCGTGCTCTGTGTTGAACTAATGACTTTGCGTCACAATGTTTCAGTGTTTTTGTTATAAAAAGAAAAAACACAAAAAACCACTCGCTGTCGTAGCTGCAGCATGAAGATCCTTCCAGTAAACCGCCCTCCTCCCCTCCTACTAACCTCACTGCCCTGCCGCACACTTTGGGGAGGAATGACGGAGGACTGCAGTCGGCCCGGCCTCGTACGGACTTCCAGGGCCCGACGGCTTCTTCCTCTTCCACTGCCTGACGCGGCGCTCTCACGGCGCATTCAAAGGAAGTTCAAGAGGAAGCGGCTGCAACGAGGGGGCTCGTCAGCGGTTCATGAAGGATTTCCTTTCAGTTTTTTTTGCTTTTTAAAAATCTCAAATTTGTTCCAGGAGGAGGTCAGCGCTCCTCCACGCGTGGCAACGACACACTGTGAACGCCATGAACCGCTCGATCAAAGAGCCCAGCAGGTGTTGAGAGTGTCGGTGGACTCGTCACCGACAGTGTTTACAGAGGACCCTCACTACGCTGTGCGCCAACGTTCACACTCTGAAGGGAAGCTGAAGGAGGGACTGCTTTATGAAACAGGTAGAAGGAGACCCAGGTGTGTAGAGACACCGAGTGGGAGAGGAAAACTCCCGTATTTCTTTAACCGCTCAAATTGTCTCGTTTCGACTCTCTGCCATGAATCGCTTTGTTCTCTGATTCCCATCGTGGTTTACGTATCGAGCTTCCTCCTCTACGAGCGAAGCAGGTAAATGCAGACGTGGTGACATCGCTGCCTGCAGGGGACTCGTGTGGCGTACGCGAGGACCGATTCAACTGAACATTTTTAAAACACCAGAACTTTTTCTCGATGTTGTTGTCGGCAGAAGTTCCAAATTTAAAACACGCCTCAGCCATCAGTCCAGACACGAGACCGTAAGAGCTGTAAGTGAAATACTGTCGTTTCCTGCAATGACGGCGGGGTGGTGACGGTCACACAGGCGTGTCACGAGGCGTGTCACGAGTTTCCACGCTGTTGTGTTTAGACATGAACAATGCAGCACGAGCGGCGTGGCCCTGGGAGCGCGGTCGGAGGTTTCAAACATCTGTGTCTGTCCCTCCACGAGCATCGAGCACCCCAAACCCCGCTCTGTAAAAATGTCCTACTGCTGTCTTTGAACAGGTTTTTGTGCTAATAACTCTTTTGTATATACTACTCCAGATTTGTATGTTTATGCTAGTAATTTATTTAACTTGTCTCCTCAGTAAAGTTCCTCAAGCACCACTTTATTTTGAAATTAGGAATTCAACGTGCCATTTGTTTCTGTATTAATGTGACTAATGCTTTTTGGAAATGTAAACCCTTAGTGTCTTTTTTCTTTGTGTAAACACGGTTGTCCTTAAACATTAACATTAGAGTGGAAGGGGCGTGTTAGCGGCAGAGGAAGCCTCTTCACCGCGCTGCTCGCCCGCAGCGACGGGACGACGTGGACTAACAAAGGTCAGAGGTCAGGTGTTCCTGGTGCATCGTTGTGAGATTGAAGATAACACAGAAAGATTCATACTGATTGACGCTGATCCTGTGAATAAATTATTCTAATAAAATCCTTTTTTTTTTTAGTATCCAGTCTGTTTGGCTAATATTCTGATGCTCCTCAGTTTATCTCAGTAGGATTTGCTGGTGTTAGCGGTGCGAGCATGATGTTATCAGCTACCTATAAAAGTCTGCAGGCTCCTGCACCTCACGGTCAAAGGTCAAACAGTCTCTTCGATGGTTTGGGTGAGGAACAGATACCCGTGGGAGACGCTCGCTGCGTCCTCGTGTCGGCCCCAGCTCACCTTTCTCACTCTCGTTTACTCATCTCTCAACAAGCGGCTGCATCGCCCCAAGAATATGACATCATCAGTTTATTTATTTGTTGTTTTTTATTAAATTAGAAATGACCTTCTGAGCCGGGTTATGTTGTCAATCATGTCGAGTTTTTAGAATCCCAATAAAAAACTGTGGGTTTAAACGTTCACGTGTCCGTGTCTGTCTGCAAACAGCTGCACCACAGTCAACAGCCCTTTGTGCATGAAGCCGCTACTCTGCAGCGCTCAACCTGCATCACCTGCAGATCACCTGTTTTCCACTTCCTGTAAGAAGAGTAAACCAAATACCTGCTATCACCCTTGTGTTGTCCTTGGGACATTTTTGTCCTCTAAAGAAATCTTTTTTTTATTAATCAAATGGTCTGAAAATAACAGGAATTGTTCAGTACTCTGCTTTGCATGATTGGAATAAGTTTTAAGTAATTTGATGTATTTATGGGGTTTTTATTGGATTTTATAACATCTGTTGTCCTCGAGGACAAAAACGTCCACAAAGTGTTGCAAAGGGCCACATTTTCACACACTGCTTTCAAACATCCTGGATCACTGATGTGTGGGGTCAAGCAAAGGTCATAACAACCACAACAACAGGCCGGTGCTCTATATTCAATTCAACTGTATTTACACAGCGCCAAATCACAACAGTCACATCTTCATATTGTAAGGTGGACCCTACAATAATACGTACACACAAATTAGCTCACAAGCCACCACTGCACTGGAGGCTTGTGAGCTAATTTCTTTTTACCATGTTGTGCAAAGCAATGAGCAGTAGATCAAAGCATATATTGTCCTCTAGCACAGCGGTCTCCAACCTTTTTTGCACCACGGACCGGCCTTTAAGGTGTCGCGGATAAATACAACAAAATAAAACTAGTACCAGTACTGAAAAAAATAAGATTTATTCATAACACACGTGAAAAGACCCAGGAAAACTGAGTAAACGATAAAAACGATAACAAAATAACGCTGAAAACTGATAAAAACCCTGAAAACTTTACATTTCACACCTGAGCCTCAACTCTCCCGGTACCAAACGACTCACGGACCGGT